TATATATATATATATATATACATATATATATATGCATATATATATATATATACATATATATATATATATACATATATATATATATATATATATATATATATATATATATATATATATATATATATATATATATATATATATATATATATATATATATATATATATATATATATATATATATATATATATATATATATATATATATATATATGTATGTATGTATATATATATATATGTATGTATGTATATATATATATATGTATGTATGTATGTATATATATATATATGTATATATATATATATATATGTATATATATATATATGTATATATATATATATATATATATATATATATATATATATATATATATATACATACATACATACATACATACATACATACATACATATATACATACATATATATATATGTACATATATATATATATATATATATATATATATATATATATATATATATATATATATATATATATATATATATATATATATATATATATATATATATATATATATATATATATATATATATATATATATATATATATATATATGTATGTATGTATATATATATATATATATATATATATATATATATATATATATATATATATATATATATATATATATATATATATACATAGCATATCATCCTATCATATTATAATTTCCACACTAGACTGAAAAACAGTAGATAGCCACTTTAACGTAAGTCTTAGGCAGCGTTTACACTGTACCGTTTTCGTAGCGTTCTCGTATTGTTCTTAATCCTCAAGGGAACGCAAGACAATAGACTAGTTCTCTCGAACAATACGAGAACGCTACGAAAACGGTACAGTGTAAACGCGGCCATAAAAGCATCAACACATACAAAAAGACAATGCTTAGTGTTTAATAAAGCATTTTCATGACACTGAGTGTTCTCAACATAATGAATTATGTCATTTACATCATGTCATACTGAAATGTCATTCAAACAATATCATCTGCTGTCTTTACTTGTTTTGTTCATTTCCTCAGAATAAGTCAATTCACTATGGAGCTAAGCTGTTCTATTAACTTGGTATTCATATTTGTTGTCAACGTATTGTTCTTTTTCGCAGGAATATGTTTAAATTCCTTGGTTATACTCAGCTGCCGGAGGTCTGCACAACTTCGGAAGAAATTGTGTTATTTCATGATAATGGTTTTGTCCTGTTGCGATTTGCTTGCGGTTTTAGCTATAGTTAATCATCCATTGTTGGCTCTTTTCGCAATGTCATGGTTGACTGAAGAGTTTAATGTATACCCGAACTGGATGTATATTTCCTTAAGCTTGTCAAATATTTTCGTTGGTTTTTCTTTACTCGCTCTTTTGGTCATGAATTTTGATCGATATTTGGCGACATATTATCCTATCTTTCATCGAACATCGGTGACAAAGGAAAGACTTTTAACTCTCCTTGCGATACTAAGTATAATCGAAGTCACGTTGGTGTTTTTATCTGTAAACAACTTCGTAAATTCCCCCACAGTTCTTTTACTAATTTGCTTTATTATTCTATCTCCTCCAATGTTGTTCATCAACTACAAGTTATTCACAATCGCCAGGAAAAGTCGTAGAAACAACGGAAAACGAATCCAGATCGATGAAAAACACGTTTTCTTTGAAAAATATATCAAGTTGCTTACTAGCAGTCGCGTGTTTTGTGGTTCTGTCCATTCCAGCATTCGTCTACGTTGGGCTAAGAATAACCTCCAAAGATAAAGCATTTACTTTAGATAATTCAAGCCTTGTAGGGCGCTGGGCTCACACTATAGCCACAATGAATTGTACATTTAACTGCTTAATCTTCTACTGGAAAAACAAGATTTTACGTATCCAGGGAATGAAAGTTATCAAAGGCATGAAAATATGTCGACGACTCCGATCCCAGCCCGACCATTAAATAGTATACAAATAATGAATGTTTATGAGTGCAATGGTAAGAATATTTTCATGAGGTGAAAGATGGAATGTTCCATTCAACGAGGCGACAGCCGAGTTGAATGGAACATTCCATCTTTCACCGAATGAAAATATTCTTACGATTGCACGAAGAAACATTCATTATCTGTTTTATATATAATACCAAAATAGTTTAAATAGACTAATAAATTCGTATGAGAAGCATTTTGAGGGATGCGATTTATCGAAAACACAAAGAGTGCAATTGTACTATACGTTTTATTCCATTGCACTCGCGAAGAGTGCAATGGAACGTGTTCCATTGCACTCTTGGGAAATGGAATTTTCTATTCAATATCACGTGACCATAAACAGCCAATTAAACGATTAGAATTTAATAAGGTATTATATAATATATATTGTTCAGCAAACTATAAACTATTGAACCGTAGGCTTTCTCCAAGTACTCTGGTTTAGAACTGATAGAGCATAGATAAAGTTCGTTTAGTTAAGATTTTATTTTATCTAGTATCACTAGGACGCTGGCTCATTAGTGAATGGTCTTTACTGAACGTAAAGAACATGCAGTAATTTGGAATTGATAAACCAATCATGCATGGCTAATGGCCCGTAGGCCGCAGTACGCCGTAGTATAGGTTCTATAATATTCTATCCTAACTCTAATTCTATTCTAGCTGGCTCTATTCATGCATGAATGGTCCTTACTGAAACTTCAAAGCAAACAATTTAAAACTTGATAGACTTTCCAACATAAAGTCATAAATAAAGATAGTCAGTCTACTATTTTAACGAACTCTTATGCAGTTTTAGCCCAGCACACGATCGACTTTTAAATTTTTGCACTTGTACGTGACTCGAATGATGAAACCTGCTTGTCGCTTGAGTCGCCTGTTTTTAGTTCTCGTACGTGTATAATTCATTTATTCTTTGAAATTGATTGACAAAATTTTCATTTACATGTCTCACCCTCTCAAGTTTTTTTTCGAAACTGCAAACTAATAACTACCGAACCAGATGTTTAACTACATTTTTTTATATAGCTACTAAACGTGATTGGCTGATTTGTAATCACGTGCCGGTGGACAGATTTAGATAAATGCAATGTATCCCGCAGGGCAACAAGTGAAAAATTGTCGCCCGTTCCGACCGGCTACGTACATATAAATGCTCAAAATGGAGTCAAAATTTAGAAAGAATTTACGAAAAGAATACCGTATCTAACAGAGAAGGAAAATACTCAACAGGCAACAGGAAATGCTGCTCACTCTTTTTAGCAGGTTCTTTTATTTGTTTGTGATGTTGCTCTGAGTGTGCCCACATGTTGATATTGAAGGATAGTGACTGTGGTCCGAAATATCGATCACCCACTCGAACCGACTTTACCTCGTAGCTCAACATCACGAACATACATCTATGTGCACAAATTCAAGGTCTTTTACTGTTAAAGGAATATGCCAACATATTTTTTATTATTTCATTTGGAAGAACTTTTAAAATTATATGTAAATCTCCTGTACAGATTCTTGAGATATTTTGACAGAACTCAGCGAGCATTCCGCCATCTTGGATTTTGGCGGATATGCATGTTACGTCATAAGCAGGGTCACACAAATATTTTATCCAGAGAGGAATTGGTTATTATGAGCCCAAAATCATACTTCGGTAACTAGTAATTCAAATTAGAAAGTGACCAACAACTCTTCAAACAAGACTTACTAATACTGTTATTTGGTCATGTAGATGTAGTTTTATATGACTAACCCTGCCTTATGACGTCACTAAAATCACCGATAATGAGATAAAAAGTTATCCAAGACGGCGGACAGCTAATTATCTCAGTAAGTGAAAATATTTCAAAAACTAAGGAAGATGCGAATATAAACGGTTTGCATAATATAATTTTAAGAAGTTTTTCAAATGAAATAAAAATGTATATATATTGCCGTATCCCTTTAAAATCATTTTTATAATTGTCTTGTGAATGTTGTTTATTTTTTCTTCGTCGTTATATAACAAAACACTTAATGTCTATTAATAGTTTGTTTTATTTTCCCTCGAATCTCGATGTTTCCTGGCGACTTCTTCTCGAGAAACATCGAAACTCTCGGGAAAACAAAACTAATCCAAAGACTATCGTGATATTTTTCGAAGAATGAAACCTATTGTCAATAAAATTATCAATCAGATATAGCCTTTTTTAACTATAAAACTTGGTGATCAATTTCCACGAGTTATATTGATTCTTCTCCTGGAAAAATAGCCTCTCTGTGACCCAAAATAGCACATACTGTTAGTAAGTGGGACTTGGGGGACATTTAATTAGTACTTAGGTAGGACTTGGGGACCATTAGTAGGTGGGACTTGGGGGACTGTTAGTAGGTGGGACTTGGGGGACTGTTAGTAGGTGGGACTTGGGGACCGTTAGTAGGTGGAACTCGAGGGACTTTTAGTAGGTGGGACGTGGGGGACCGTTGGTAGAAAGAACGGCTCCTAGACCAACATCAGAAGCGTCCGTTTGCAATACAAATTCTTGGTCAAAGTCTGGGTGTGAAATGTGATTTTGTGTGGGGGGGGGGATTTCCCCCCCCCCCCAGCTTGTATGTAATTAATTAAGAAAAGGCCCTGTATTGATGTTTACAGTAGTCATGCAGAGAAACTGAATGACAGATTGAAATTTGTTTGATTAAATTCGAATTGCATGCAGTTGAGTAAGGAATTTTCGATGCCCTGGATGAATAAAACCCCATGAGAAATGCTATAAATAGTTCTATATTTTTTAATTTATCGTTTTAATATCGTCTTTACATTCATTTCCGCGCATCTGTACAACCTCGTTCTGGCATCTGTAAAGGACAGTGTTCCTTCTATTTACCTTCAAAACATCTATCAATAAACCCATAACACTACTGGAAAAAAATAGTGAAATCCAATTACTATGGAATTTGATATAGTCTTAATAGTATAGGTATACTAAAATCCATGGTATACCCATACTATTTCCGTACTATTTCCAATGAAGATCCATATTAATAGTAAGGAGTTGGGGTCTTCGTCGTTTGAGGACCCTTTTTGAGCCGGGGGTCCGAGCAAAATTGGCAGGCCTGGGTACAAGTCTGCTGCAGATTTGTTACATTAAGCTGTGCGTTTTTACGCGTGTAATCTACTATATTACTACGAAAGTCATGAATATATGAAATATATTGTCTTTACACAATTACACTAATAAATATGCGAAAGTTCCCTAAATTATATATTTAGCAAAATACATTGTCCTGCCCTCAAAATCATGCATTATAGTATTATTTGATTTTTTATATACCCCTAACTCTATATTAATATTCTATAATATATTCTACTGTAAATTTCGCAAATCACCTTGTCCCTGCTCCCAAAGTCATGCATTAGTATTATTTGATTTCATACTGTATATACTTCTATATTTCGGGTGGTGAAAGATGAATATTGAGTATTGATACTGCATGGGTTTTGAAGTAGTGTGAATATGAATATTGATGGTAGGAATATGAATACCGTACTTACTCGTTTAAGCGCCGCATATGAGAAAAAAAAATATTAAAGAGCGCCGCCCTCGAATAATCGCCGCAGCACCGTCTGAAAAATTGTTCGTGTACGAGGTTGCAATCTTTAACAAACCTCAGAACTTTTTCTTCTGCATTTCAGTGTTTTTATGTTATACTTTGTTGCTAATATTCCTTGTTAATGCTTACAAATAAAATATGTTATAATTAAAGAGCGCCGCCCCCAAACAAGGCCATATCCGTAGCACTAAAAATTGAAAAGCGCCGGGGCGCCTAAACGCGTAAATACGGGTATTTACACAAAAATTGGAATGAATACCGTAAACCTCCGAATATAGCCCCAGATATAAACCCCCATGTAAACGCTCACCTCCTTCCAAATATAAGCCCACGCGAATATAAGCCCACTTGTTTATCACTATTGTTTATATATCACTATTACCACTATTAATCACTATTATTATTATGCTGAACACTTGTTTATCACTATTACTACACTTGTTTATCACTATTACACTAACACAAAAGACCGTCCATGTATAAGCCCCCCCTATATAACCCCCCCTCCTTGTATAAGCCCATCAAAAATCGCTTGCGAAAGAATATAAACCCAGGGCTTATAGTCGGAGATTTACGGTATCGCCCTCGCCAGTCGACAGGTTTTTGGGAATTTTTAGCTGGTATTCCTCTCCATCAGACTATATTAATATTCTACCATACAGATTTAAAATATGCATATCTAGTTGTGATTTCCCATATACATGTACTTCACACATAATTTCCAGCTGTATTTCATACCATATTCACATCTTTTCGACCCGCAAGTTTGGTATATCCTTGTACTCCGTATTTCATATCTTCAACCATTTGCACTTGTACGCATGTATCCTTTAATACAGGTAAATCATGCTTACATAAACAATGCTTCTTTGATTCGTTCGTTTTTCCTCCGTCATGTTCATCCAACGTATCTGTGCTCGACGTTTTCTCCTTGCAAAGCTCTCCATTTGGTATGACTGTTATACTTTGGTTAATAACTAAACATCTGCTCAGGAACTTCATAAAAGGCCGAAAGTTCAAAGCATACATTCCGACAATTGCGATAAGTACGAGCATACCGTAAACTAAGTAGCTATATTCAATTTGTTTTTTGTCACGTTCTTGTCTTGCCTCCATTGAAGAACTTGTCCTTGACCAAATAATCCAGGCAGTAAATGCCACCAACATGGATAAAAAGCTCGCAAAAAATACAAGTTTGAACCAGCCTTTCGTTCCAATACGCGGTAATTTCCACTGTTAATGGAAAAAGGATATGGACATATTGTTAGTACCATGGACATATTGGTATTATTGCACGTTTTACGGCTGGCTTACACTATCAGAGTTTATGTGATCACAGACAGGGCCACCCGTGCGACCCTCCCCCCCTCCCCCCCAATGTTGTAATATTGCAGTTTTGTCGGGCAACAGACCTTACCGATTTTTCTCTTTTACCCAATGGCCTCGTTTTCATGCCAAAACTTAATCATGTTTTGTGCTTAGTAGGGTTGAAAATTACTTTGTTATTGAGCCTAAGAACAGCAAGAAACAAATTCGTGCAGGAAAACATGGGAATATAATCTTTATTTGCCCCTGACATGCTAAAATAAATTAACATGGAAACGAGGCCATTGGGTAAAAGAGAATAATCGGTAAGGTCTATTTTACCAATTGACGACATGCTCGTCGGACAAAAAATATGCAATTCAGCAAAATTTTTTACATGATTTACTGAAAAGTAATAGTTGTAGGAAAAATTTTGATCAATTTACGAAAATATTACTGAAAAAGTGTACAAATTACGGTACATTAGTTCGAGAAAGTTAGTGAAAAATGGTATGCCCGAAAGGTGGTATGCCTCCCCCCCCTACTACCCGCTCGCGAACAATTTTGACAAAATAAATATTAATTACCGAGTGAAATATGTTCGTCCTTTGGCACGATTTCAGCACGCCCTTTTGGTCAAGCAAAACAAGCTCGCACCTCCCGGCCGTAATACACAGTAGGAATTTTGCATACCTAAATTCTAAGTCTTGGGCCTTGGCGGATTTGTAAGAAATGTTCGAGGACTAACTCAGTGTTAAACACACAAAGTCATTTCCCTCAAACATTTTTTACAAATGCTTCATGCTTTACCCACACTGTCACTGTATGCAAAATTCCTACTGACAGTGACTACCTGAAGAAACTTTGATAGTGTAAGCAGCCTTTGGGAGTTCACACTTGAGATCGATCTAAATTAAATTAGAGCGATCTCACACCAATCCGAGACCGGACGCACATGCACAAAATCTTGAATGAATTAACCGAATGTTAGTATAGGTAATAGTGTGGCTTCGAGTGCAATTTGGAAAAAAACATGCACGAGTGAGTTTTTCAAAGAGGATAAAAAATTTGCCGACTTCCAACCATAGATATCTTATATAAGATATCTATGCTTCCAAATCCAACAGGCAGTTTGAAAGTACCTAATCAATATATACAGTAACACAATAACAATTTTGGATTCCCAACAATGACAACTAGGCCACTTAATAATACACTATCTTGCCAAGCACACCCCATTGGCTTAGGAGTTTCACAATTGATCTTAGGGTTCTGAAACGGTATACGTATACGGTACCCCGCATTCCACTCTGATCCTACAGTAAGTTACAGTACGGTAAGTTAGGATAATCTTAAGATCACATTAGGGCAAAATGAAACTGCAAATACGCAAAACTGCACCTAAGTTAAACATAACTCTAACTTGCCACTTGGCCCCCAATTTTTTAAGATTTTTATTGAAAAAATCATTATTATACAAAACACCAGTGCTACAATACCATATCGATTCAATTGCATCTATACTCAGACGGCAAGCACAGTGGGAAAGATTTAAACAAAATTTAAAAGCATGCACGAACAATGGCTAAATAGAAACCATAATGCACACTCTTTCGATAATTACGTCACAAATACTTCCTGGTCCAGGATGCCGCACTCTCTTTAATGAAGATGAAAGGCTATTTGTTCATGATTCATGAGAACGAGGCTCCCGGGACAATTATTGAAAGGGTGTGTTTGGTGGGACGTCGAATGCAGATGAATACTAGCGTTGTATGCATAGTCAGATAATATAGTCTTTTAGGTTTAACATTCATGATGAGAAAAACATTGGTAGCAGATGCTGCTTCAAAGGCTGTTTAACCCATTGAGCGCTCTCTTTGATGAGTAATGCAACTTAATGGTTTGGGTTAGACTGTCCTTCAAAAACAATAGTGTTTCTATTAAATCACTTGCGTGGTGGACATTAATATGGCGCGCAAACAGAGAATAGAAAATTGCAATGCGATCGCCATGTTCCTAGCCAGTGCGTTATGAGAGACATTCACCGCTTGAAAATAATCAAAATGACAGACATTCTGGGGGCTGAATGCCAGCTTTCATAAGCACACTGGCGAGTAACATGGCGACAGGGACATCGTGAGCAGTCTTCCTTTGGGGTGTGAGCAGCAAAAAATCTACCTGATTTTTACCTAGTTCATAAT